AATACCTTCCAAATTTGGGTATTACGTCACGATTGTTATAAATCAAATCGTCGCACAATATTAAATATTCGTTAAAATAAATAAAGAAAGGTATGGAGAACTAGCGACATACTAATACTAAGCACAGGCACATCCAAGTCTCTTATATGCAACATTGAATTACAACATTATCAAGACTAAATCTTTTTCTGAAACATCTTTAAGGAAGTTGTTTTGTAATTGAATATGAATAGATTTTGATTGATAACCCAATTGATTTGGTGGGCCCTTTATTCAGGATAACCCAATTGATATAACGTTAATATCAAGCTGTTCTTTTGAAAGCAACACAAGATATTAGCCTACGCTGATTTAATTTAGAGAGTTGAAATGGGATGAATCGTCGGATGGATACATCGATTAGACGTTTCTCCGTATTCGTCACACAGATTATTTTTTTTCCTTTCCTAATTTCCGAGATAAAGTGTAGCCGTTTCGATGCGTATTAGTATTACGTTGCATCACATATTTTAATGTTGATAACATTTGTCTTATCTTCGTTACCTCAAGATAAGATGTTGAATCAAATATTGTATGATACGTAGTGGAACATTAACGTTGATAACAATGGGTCTAAACTTGTATCGATCTGATCGATCTCATCTATAATTACAGTAACACCAAGTCGTGGGAGAGGAATTATAGAACCATTGACCAGTAAGTTCAAGGAGAAAAACGATGATTTCCAATTCTACGACGGAACAATGTGACGTTCTGAAGTATCTACTCGTTTTATATGAAATCAATTTTATCTTGCTTGGTTCGACATGCATTACGTTCTTTCCAAAACACACGTTCATGTAATTATATTTCAAAACCAGAAACACGTAAAAATATTCATAAACTTTGTATGCGTTGCGTCAATGTCTTGCGCTGATAATCATTCTTATTAGTAATCAACTTGGAAGCAATTTATCAGAGAAAGATGTTGGCAGCTTATCGGGCAATTGTAATTGGGTTGAGATGTTATGAATGTAAGTAAAGGCGGGTGACAGATGCAGAATACACAGTCGATGTAGCTCATTAATTGGACGAGATTAGCAGGATAAGAATTTTCTTAATGGGAATCGTGGGTGTTGCTAAGGACATGGGTTACCAATTGATTGACTGTAGTAGTGATCATAATTACAGTATGATGCATTCTACTTTATTATTCTATTAGTCATACTAATACGTTATCCAATCTATAATAGTATACTAACTCATCCACTACATAAGACTGACAAGCAATTATTTTTTAGGCGAATTAAGTTTGCTGGTACGTGAAATGTGTAACGACCGACATTTTTCACAGACCCATCTGGAGACATTTGATTGCCCTGGTACGTCATCAAATAATGTACTTACTCGCACCTTGAACAATCCACACATGTATGTAATTTCACCCTTCTCAATCCCTCCATCATTCTTACTCTCTGTAGCATTGTTCTTTTCATACTCCACATTATCTCTTTTACTTTTCTCATTGTTACTACTCGTCTTGTGATTTCTCCATTCAATTTTCAAAAGCTTCCCAACAGCTTCAAATGCAGGCAGTTGACAGGCATCTAATGTTTTCAGATACTTTTTCCCTTTGAGTTTCTTTTCTACAGTCAAGTTTTCCAACATCTCGCTCAGCTGCTTGAAAAATTCTATCCGTTTCCTTCGCATCCTATTCTCGTCTTCTTCAGGATCATTTAAAAATGATGGATCAAATCCTACGTCTAAAGATTTGTGCTTTGCTGATCTCTGTTTATTATACAAATCTGCTGACAAAATAGCTGCCATCAGGTCAGCTATAATGGAAACATAAGGACCAATCGACCGAATGAACTCAAGAGGATTAGCATCAAGGCCATATCCTGCCTCATCTAATGCAGGTATATGTATACCATCATTGTCATTCGATAATCCTTCACACAAAACGTACAAGCCAAATGTCTCTGTGTTCCATTTCTTAGGACTGAACACATCCTCTGGATCGACCTCCGGGTTAGGAAATAGCATGAATAACCTTGGAAAAACAGATTGAGTAACGTGAGGTTGTATTATCTTCTTCTGAAGCACTATGAAACGAGGAGGAAGCCGGAAATGAGAAATTCGAGATGATGTTATGAGCTCAACCGGTCGTTTTGAAATCGTGGGTGAAAGATGATCTTGTAGATCATACGAAGAAGTAGAATTAGATAGCGATGTAATATGACGAGGCGATACAGGAAAAACATGAGATGATGAAGTAGCAATAGGAGACGACAAGGTAGGTGGCTCAATAAGCGGGGTAGACGGTTGAGATGACGCAGGTGGCTGATATGACGAGACAGGCGGTTGAGCTGGTGAGGCAGGTGATGAAGGTGTAGAGCTGCTTGAAGACGCTGATCGTTTTTGTTTTGGTATTAGGCGTAATAAAGAGCGTAGGCGATTTCGGGGGGTACTTGAGGATTCACCTTTTTGATCATTCGATCCGCTTTTTGAGCTACTTGTATCCTGAGTGGAAATATCTCCAGATTCAACTTCGCTCCTTTCCTTTGATCTTATAGACTTCTTTTTTCGCATAGCAAGACTTAAACATGCTATCATACCCGTCGTCAAACCAATAACGAGCAACGTCTTATCTTTTTTCCCTTGGTTGCCTCCCGTAATTAGGATCGTATTACCGTCGATAATGTTCTGAGGTATATTATTCCTAGCTCTCATTCTTGTGTTCCTCTGTCGTGTCAACGATGGTATATCGAGTATGTGAATATCACACAGAGTATCATCGATACCTCCGTGGATAATCAATTGATCTCCAAGTACTAGCATGCTATGACCCCACTGAGGAAGTGTTGGATTGCTGATGATTGTTGTGGAACGTCTAGTTATGTCTAGGATACGCAAGCCCCCTTTTGAAGTGCGTTCAAAGGAATCGAGGCCGGGTAATACAAATATACTCTCGTCCTTATAACCAACTGCTATGATGGTTATAAATTCAGTGTCCAACGATATATCTGATAACGTCCACTCATATTCGGTAAGATCGAACTTCCAAATATCCCTTGTTCCTTTGTTTCTTCCAGTATCTGATATTACCATTCCCCCAATAATATATAAATGCTTTCCAATCACCACTGATCCAGCAAACGAGATTAAAGGTATTTTATAAAGGGGGATGAACTCGACCCTATTATCCTCCATGTTCCATATAAAACCTTTGTTCATGAAGTTGCTATTATGATTACTTGTCTCTGCAGAATACTCACCGCCAACCCCTTCAATAGCCACAACGGCTGTCTCGTTGACAACGCTGACTTTCATTCCATCAAATCGCAGTCTTCCATCTCTGATAATACTCCATTCACCTCTCTCGATATTGTACAACTGCACTCCAGGAACAAGTTCATTACCTTCCTCGCTTAACGTTACGCGTTTACTGTTCATTCCTTCAACTACAATCATTTCTGCACCCATCATAACACACTGTGCAAAAAGCAGATTCTGTGTTTTTCCATCGCTATGCACACGCTCCCACTCAATATGGCTATTCCGAAATGGCCCTCTTGCTCTAATTAACGTCCATTGTTGCAGGGATTTAGAACTCAAGTCTTGTATTCCACCAAATGTGTATATATAGTCATTATGCACAACGGAGCAACGTGCAGATGGGAGAATGTGATTTACCGGTAAGCATAAGGTAGAAGATATTAAGAGAACGAGGAAGACGAGGGATGAGCGAATTGAGTAAACGATGAATGAAAGTGTCTGTAACGAATCTGCCTTTAACGACATGGCTAGTAGCCGGGCCTTTTTTTGACAATATAATATAAAAAAGATGTGAGATTTGGAATTATGTGATTAGTAGTATACTGTATTCTTATTGTGAATTTATTCATTACTCACCGTAAAAAATTAAGTCGATATTCGTATTTGATTTGTATCGAATTATCTAACAATCAATCTCTTATTATCATGCTAAGATAGACATTTCGTAATATCTATTACTAAAAATTGACAGTTTATTTTGTGTCTTTTCTCACCGGAGACAATTCCGTAAGTTTAGACTGATATTGGCAGATAAAGAAGCAAAGAAGAGAATATTCTCAAAATCAATGTTATTATTAAGCCACGTGTTATATAACATTGACTGTTTCGTTTTAAACCTACCACGTACTTGGAACAACGCCTCCTGGCGCTTTCCTTGCAAAGAAATAACGGTAAACTTTATATATTTATGCTATTGCTGCTGGAAGAAAGTAAGAAAGTGTGTTCGCTTAATATGTTAATATATGAATGATGACAGAGATGATATTATGACTGACATGTTGAAATAAACGTCGTGAATACGCATTTTTATTATATAATCAATTCCCAAATCTTTTTTTTGTCCGGGGATCAATCCCAGTTATCAATTAGGAGTGACAATGAGTTTCAGGGGTCCGCCTAATCTAACGCCTCAGGTTCTATTTTTGTTTCACAATTTCCAATTAGTCCAAAGATAACCAAAGTTAATCTTACCGAATGTTATGTAACAACGGGAAGCAGGTAAAAAAAACATTATTATGTTGCGAGCTAAACTTGCAAGAAAATGATCATGTGTATCTTTTGAATCTAGAGTCAGTTTACAGATTTTATTATCCAAGAAAGGCCTTTCCAATACAGTAGCCCATTCTCTAGTGAATTTCACAATTTAATCAATTTATAGCTATACTTATTAATCTAGCAAGTCTTGAAGCAGGAAATAGTTGAGTTTTCCCTTGATACTAATGTTAAGATATAATATACCCGCTCTGCTGTCATGATTGATATAGGTTTAAATCAGAAATAGACTGTAACGGTATCTAATTTAAAAGTGGCCGAATGTATTTATCAGAGTAATTTATTTATAGTAACAGTAATACTATGAGGAAAATTTCCAGAACGCAAAAAACAGTAACAGATGCACAGATCCAGGGAAATGGTCTGAATATTCATATATAGTAATAGCGGGATTTACAGAAGGATAGCATTCTAACGTAATGAAACTAATACTTAAATATCCTTGTGTGACTAACAGTCTTGTAACATTATTATTTACTATTACGTTGATTTGACTGTACATCTGACGGACTATATTGACTGGATTATCCGAAAACGCATCATTCATAACTTCGTGCAAGCTCGCTGAATGTTGCGTGTAACAGTATTTTGCAAGGAAGTTTACTTGGCTTGTGATGATATCGAATCGGAAGAATTTTCCAACATTGCTGTTGGTTACCAGTGACATTAATTTGCTGCCCAAGCCGTCATACAAAGCTCTTTACTGTTATTCCCGTTTTAGACTTAAAATCCATCTGAAATGCAGGCTCTAGCGTGTTCTCTTATCCACTTGTACAGCATGTTGCAAAAGTTTTTTGAATTAAATTTTTTTCTAATAACTTCATAATCACTGCACTAATTTACATGCGTAATACTCATTTAAAATGTAAATTTACAGGTTTGTTATATTAAATTTAAGGTTAATATGGAATATGTTCACCATTTCCCAACGACACCTGCTTTCGTAGTATAGATTAACTATAATATACTCGGAAATTTAATTCTACTTCCTCGTCATAAACTCTTCCAAGCGTGATCGATTTTTTTTTCGACGTTTCTCTTAACAATACGCCAAAGATTTTCAAGTCTGGGCTAGCATAGCCAATCCATTACTTTAGGCTTTAAGAATGCTATAGTAACATGTTGGGGTCATTGCAATTATTTAAGCAAAAAAGTTTTAGCTTCTTACAAAGTTTATTTATTTATGCAAGCACATTGATGCTGCTATTACTATTAAATAATAACTAGATTTCTATAAGCAATTCAATTTCTCAAATTTGAACGCAAAGTTAGAATGTACAGTGTATCGCAAAACTTTAGATTACTTCAATTTTCTGCTCTACTCAAATAATGGAAGCTAAGTTTTATGTTAATATCTTAAACAAACAACTGTCAGTGATTTTAACAAAATGCTTGGCAACATTTGGAGGTTTCAACAAGACTAGTAAAAACGATTAACTACATTTATTAAGATAACTATTATGTTGTTCTGCCCGTAGGAGAATTACAGTACGTTCGCGTTCTGCGACGGCTGGAAGAGCAACTTTTTTTTCAATCAAATTCAGATTATTTAACATTATTCAAATTGGTAAACGCGCATCGATATTATTTCAGCGCGTTGATATTGTATCTAATTGAAAGCAAGAAAAAACCATCGAGTTGAGTGTATAAATCGTAAATTACAAGTTGATTCAAAATTAGAAGACTGCTAATTGACTTATTTTAATATCTGCGGCCGAATAAATGTTTTATTCGATAGGGAAAGTGTACACGCTTCTTCTTGAGAGGGGATAACGATCTTACAGCATTATGACAAATAGTATCCCAGTTGTTATTGAGAACCAAGTTTTAATACGATTGAAAATTTACACTTAGAAATAGTCAAACTTTCTATCTGTAAAGATGGTTTACCAGCGGTAATTAAATAGTTAATTATACAAAAAATGTCTGTGTAAATTTGCAAGTAGAAAAGATTTCCGGTACAATAAGAATTCGACTCTCCTCAAAGTTACCGATTAAAAGAATCCAGATTGCACATGTACATGAACGTCTCGGACTCATTGCCATTATGCAATTATGCTTTTTGTCATAAAGATTACAATGCACAATTTCTGCTCCTGTGAATATACATGCAAAACCGTTTTCTTCATTCTGCTTTAAAAGATTGATAAAACGTTTTTTTAATACAATGCATACGCCATACTATTGTTTTACGTCACTTGTGATTTAGCTATAATTCAGAAGTTCCGTCAAAGATTGCTTATTTCGGTATAAATGACTCCTGTGTCTAATCCAACTTTATGATTTCTTTCCAATATTCTCGTTAAACCCATGTTGTATCTCAGTTGGAGACCTGTCACTGAGTGACTGGGGTCTAGTTCTAGTTCTGAGATAGAAGAAAAATTGCGAGAAAATCAGTCAAAAATAGAACAATTTCAAAATCTTCTTCATAGTTTGGATAATAATAATAATAATAATAATAATAATAATTCTTGACCAATTACTCCGATTGCTTGGGTTTTTTCAGCAATCGACATCGTAAAAATAGCAATGATGTATAATAATACAAATTGGCACGTGTATAATTTTTTGCACATTCCCCATTAAAATTACTTGCTTTTGAATATTATATTATTAAAAGCCACGTGCAAGCAATAATAAATAATGTTAATTGACATACAACGCTGTATATTCGCAAGGCTATACGAATAATATCATG